TATTGATTCTGCATTTAACCTTCACAACTTTACTTCAGCAGTAGGATGCTATTGAACGTCAGACTTCCTCAAGAAGAGTTAAGAATTGACTTTAGAAGCCAAATGGAAACAGAGAAGATAGATGAGGCATATGAATGCCTGGTGTCCTTCTGGTCCTTCTGAAGAGACTGGCTCTAAATAAAACTTATTTCCTTCTTTTGATGCAGCCCCTTACCAGTTCTTATTTTCTTTTTTTTTTTTCCATGTCTTGAATAAGAAAACTATTTCTCAAGGTTATGATTTTTAGCAGACAATTAGAAATGTTTTTAGAAGTCAGCATTTTATTGGAAGTAAGGTAGACACAAAAGCTACTACATGAGGCTGCAGGCTTGGAGCAAAGATTTTATTCTTTATATGGTTGAGTTTGTGATCTGGTCATTCAGTTTCTTGTAGCTTGCTCGTTGTGGTTGAAAGGATTAGAGCAGGGACTTGGATCTGTCAGAGAGGCTTTCCTCTATTGTGTTTTGTGGAGAACAGAAACAATATGCCCCCTGAGGCAGCAGAAGTAGTTGCTTCATCTTATTGTCTGCAGGACAGCTGTCAACGATGATCTGTGAAACCAGGTTTGTAAAGATACTGAAAGTACTTTATTGCTTCCCATGGTAGGTTGCTCTTGTGTTGGCCAGAGGAGAATCTGCCTGTTCTAAGGTAGATGCCTAAATATGATTTTCTCTGAAAATGTAATAATCTCATTGGCCTTTGTGAGAAATGTGTAGAAACATATAACACTGGTAGATATTTAACGCTTCCTGTTTGTTTACAGGAAACAACTGTTGAATTTTACTAAGAAATAAGGTAATTGGAAACTCCTTTGACCTCATATCAAAACTCGATCATAATTGAGCAAACAATTGCTTAAAATCTAACTTGGCTTGACACACTTAACTTACGAAAAGCAGTTCAGTTTAAACAAGAAAGATAATTCCTCTTTCAAGTTCCCCTAGACTTGCAAAGAAACATCGGGAAACCACTCTGGCTTTCATTTCAAGAATATGTAGGAGCTTTGGCCTTAGTGTGAGCACGTCTAGGTGTTATCCTGCAAGAAACTTTACCTCAGAAACCTTCCATTATTTTAGGTATAAAATACTAATTTCTGTGGCTATTGTTTGGATTTTTCCAGACATGAACTTGAGCTGTCTTCTCAAGGCTGAGCGGCTCCAGTGCTGCTACTGATAACAGCTTTTCCAACTGCAGTAGAGGTAAACTGAGCAATGCTATCTGCAAACATGTCAGCATTGCTCGGACTTGTTTGTAGCCAGCAAGGCTTTTTTTTTTTTCCCTTCATGATGGTTGAGGGAAAAATCTTGATGCATAAGTACAGAATTAATCCTTGGGGAAATTTAATCCTATGTATATGTGTGTGTGCCCAGGTGCATGTGTGAAGGTAAGAGTTGTATGGAAATGGCATGTTTTTAAAACAAGAGAAATGAAAACCTCAGCCTTTAAAAAGCAGGAAAGAAATGTGGTGAGAAGGGGAAAGGACCCTTGTAGCCCACAAAGAGAGCTTTATGAAAAGATGTTTTCTTTGATATTTTTATATCTCAGGGCAATTTCAAAGATGAACTTCAACTTCCAAGATTCTGAGCAAATGATAAGTTGCATTACTTTCATATTGATGAATTGCAACTTCATGTATGACTTCATCCTTTAAATAGTAATAGTAAAAAAACCCCAACCCGCAAACACGTCCACTTGCCCCATACAGAGCTGGGAGTGCTGCTAATTGTCTGTATAAGGGTGTTTAAGACGAGCTTAAGGAAACTTCATTTCAGTATAGCATAAACATAAAGCAAATCTTTTTTTTCCAACACTGAAGTCATGATACCATCATTTTCTTTCTATTCTTTTTATTCTTAATACATATAGAGAGCTATAGTTAATACAGATGTAGTATCTGGAGTTTGTGAAGTCAAATGCTGTCAGCTGTCCACTTAGGTTTCAAAGATACTTAATGCTCTCTGTTAAGTTACTCTAACCCTAGACTATAGCATCTTAGTATTCTCGTA